GTTTGCAAATCCCCTCCCAAAATCTCCTTTTCTTGGGACCCGAGTGTTTTGCAATGAATTAAAAATAAAACCGAGTCTTTCAGCTTAGGAATTTCTAGGAAGCCAGAAAAGATTATATCACCTAGCTTAGACCTAATCGCAACGTATTTGTGCAAGACGAAGAAGAAAAACGCACACACAGAAATCATTTATCCAGGATAACCCAAGTAAATACTTTTGGGTAATGAACACAGAGAGGGGCACGAATGTTTCCTGCATCCCCAAAGCCAAAATCCAGATAAATTTTGTTTAAAGGACCTCTGGTTCTCCAGCATAGTTCTTTTGAAAGATGGAGTGAAGAGAGCATGGTGAAGTCTGCATTTTCCATCTCTAAGGACAGAAATGCCTGTCGTTTCAACGTCCACGTTGAGACCCGCGTGTTGGGCGCAGAGGTCGGTGGGGATGATGAGTTTTGCGGAGTGCCCGGCTTGACATGCAAGTGGTCAGTGTTGCACAATCCAGAATACACTTGTGTCTCGTTTCAATCTGCTGATGCCTACACGGCAAGCATGTGGAGGCCTCCAAAATCCTTGGAGCTAATCACACGCTCAGAGGTGCTGCTCTTGATATGCATGCTTGGAACTTACCTCCTTCCAGAAACATCTTCAGAGCCCAGAGCGCAATCTTTCATGTCCGCCCTGAGTTCACTTTCCTACGTGACCCTCCGTGTGTTTCATGCCTTATTAACAACATTCCCCACAGAGATAAATCTCCATCCTTTCCAAAAACGATTTCATTTTGGGGGGCGGTATTTCAGGTTGTTTTTCAACAAAGTTTACAACGCCCTGAGGAGAATCAAAAATAATTTTCCACACTACATTTGTTAAGCAATGGTATTATGGACCAGAAAGAAGAAGACAGTAGGTACTGGCGTTGCCCTTTTATACCTCAAATCTCGTTCTCCGTAGTAACGAAAGTTCCTATAGAGCATTTTCAGGTTTTATCGGCGGACGGAAGACACCGTCTCAGGACGGCGATGGAAAGTGTCAGGGAAACAAATTATATTTGTGCTGGGTTGATCAAGCCTTTGAGAAAACACTTAACCAGTTCACCCGGTTTCCAAGTGGATTTGGGATGGTGTCAGGGAAGCCCACTGCTTTTGAAAAATGTTGAGTTGTCCCAAGGTCCCAACAAACAACAGCTGTCTTACAAAGCTAACGGCAGAGGAGGGAGGTTTGGGGGAAGTTGTTGACGGACTGTTGCTGGTATCAAGTCGGCCAAGCAGGAACAGGAGTTTCCCCCAAAAATGGACAGGTTCCTAATGGCTGGAATTCTTGGCTGCTGCCGCTGGGTGGTGGCCATCATCACAATCCCAAAAACCAGAACAACACACACTTAGTGCAAGACTCAATATATGAACGGACATTGGGCAGAGCATCCTTAAGAACAGAACTCTGGCCCATGACCCGTCCAGGGGACCAGCCCTCATCTATGGGGACCAGCCGGCAGAGCCAGCCTGCTGTCTCCACATCAGACGAGCAGGAAGCCAGATGTCCGTCCCCAAGACAATCCGAGAAGCTAAGCAATCTCATCTGGAACAACAGACCCCAAATGGCCAGGACTTGATCAGGAACTGATGGCTTCCCTACGTGTTGGCCCCACTTCCTATATAGGACCAACCAGAGAAACCAGATATGGTCCCTTAACCAATCCCATGGGATGCCCTACTTGTCGTGAGCCACCTGCATCTTCCCCTCACCCACAGCCTCTGCTCAGGGCACCCCTGACACCTTCCCTTTTCCCACCACAAACCCATCCCATGCCCCCACCAGCCTACAGTGTCCACCAGACACCGGTGTCGGTGACTGACTTGGTGACGGTGCCCGACTCCCCTGCCACACCAGCCTCTGAAGAAACCGGCGGTGCTTGCTCTCACGTAGGCGGGCTTTCTTTATTTCCACACGTACAATGGCCCATTGTCCTAAATGGAAGCCCTACAACTTACCGACCATGTGGGAGAAAACGCACCAGGGGATCTTGTGGAATTTGGGACAGACACAAACGTCCCAGAACACCAAAATCATGAACCACACTAGAAAAAAAATGGACAAATTGGACCTTATTGGAATCAAAATACTTCTATTCTGGGGATGACACCACAAAGCAATTGGAATCATAAGCCACACCCTGGAGAAAATAGGACATAAAATATTTATATTCATATATGTATTGTCTATTCAGAATGTATAAAGAACTTAATCATAAGACAAACAACCCAATAAGAAATAGGCAAAATAGGGTGCCTGGGTGGCTCAGTTGGTTAAGCGACTGCCTTCGACTCAGGTCATGATCCTGGAGTCCCAGGATTGAGTCCCACATCGGGCTCCCTGCTCGGCGGGGAGTCTACTTCTCCCTCTGACCCTCCTCCCTCTCATGCTGTCTGTCTCTCATTCTCTCTCTCGCAAATAAATAAAAATCTTAAAAAAAAAAAAAAGAAATAGGCAAAATATTTGAACAAACACTTCACGAAGATATATAATATATAGTAAATATATATTTATTATATAATATATAAAATACATACTTAGCATTTTATTATTTAACTATTATTTGCATAATAATTTATATAGTAATAAATAATAATTTATTCATACAATATATTCATCACTTATTATATTAAGTTATTATATATGCTATATATTGTATATTATGATATATCTCAATATTACATATTTAATATATTATTACATATTATTATATATTATAATATTTATATATTATTTAATAATATATTATTTAATAAAATTGACTTGTTATATATTTGTATAATATATAAATATATGTTTTTATTTACATATTTATGTATGTGTATTTATTATTTAAATGTGCAAATGATAAATATATTTATATATTTTAATAAATATATTTATATACTTAATAAATATATATTTATATATTTAATACATATGTATTTGTGTATTTTAATAAATATGTTTATATATTTAATAAATAGATATTTATATATTTTAATAAATGTTTATTTGTGTATTTCAATAAATGTGTATTTATGTATTTTGATAAATCTGTGTTTGTATATTTTAATAAATATGTATTTATATTTTTAATCAGTATGTATTTATATATTTTAGTAAGTATATATTTGTATATTATATATAACTTATATTATTTTTTTATATATGTGGGGCGAATAGGCATAGAAACAGGGATATTCAAAGTCATTAGTAAAGAGAGTAATGCAAACAAATACCACCCCAGCAGCCCTGGAATGAATAACACTTTGAAAAGGCTGACAGTAACAAGCTTTGCATGTGGACCAGCTGCGATCCTTTTGCCTTCCTGGGTGGGATGTAGAATCAGCACAACTCCTTTTGAAAAACAGTCTGGCATATGACCCAGAACGTCTGCTCGTAGATATTTAACCAGGAGCAACACTGAGGGAAAAAAAAGACTCATACGGTGGTATCGTCGTGCTCACATCTAACAGCCCAAACCGGTCACCGGGTCAACAAATCATAGTAAACCGTAGTGAGCATTACAAAAACTTTAGGGCACGGCTCTCTCGTTCCACCTGGGCGTTCGACTTTGCTCCCTTGTGGGCACCTGCTATCTCTCCCCCCTCTGGGGAAGTGTCCCCAGCAGGTGACCCAAGCCAGCTTCCCTCACCCCTTGGTTGATGTCACCTGTAGGTAAGAGGGACACCAGTCTCCTAATCTCAGCACACCTGTGGGACCTACGATCAGATGATAACTATCCCATAGATGGGTTCCATGAGCCAGGTGCAGCCCTCCGCTACCAATTATCGCCATCCACATTTTCCAGCCATACCTCAGAGAAGGTGCACGACAGGGAAACACTAGCCTGTGTCCTAAATAATCAGTTTCTGACTTAAATAGGAACATGCGAGTGTTTGGTGCCATCTAGTGGGCGCGACGAGCTATCAAGACCTAGAACAAGGCATGACTTGACCGCGAATACGGGGAACCCTCGGACCATGCGGATTAAGGTCAATGAATCCCAGAATCTCTTTTTCCCCAAAATGATTGTGAGCCGGCGTTCAAAATGTTGACAACTGAGCTTGTTCTAATTAAAGTGGTCCTTGGCTTAATAGGTATGGGGTCTCCTTTTGGGGTGATAAGGATCTATGGAGACTAGAGACAGGTGCCCCTCTCTTGCAGGACAGTGAGAATGTATCACAATTCATACAGAATTGTGTGCTTTAAAATGGTTGCATTTATTTATTTATTTATTTATTTTTAAGATTTTATTTATTTGCGAGAGAGAGAATGAGAGACAGAGAGCACGAGAGGGAGAAGGGTCAGAGGGAGAAGCAGACTCCCCGCTGAGCAGGGAGCCCGATGCGGGACTCGACCCCGGGACTCCAGGATCATGACGTGAGCCGAAGGCAGTCGCTTAACCGACTGAGCCACCCAGGGGCCCTAAAACGGTTGCATTTATGTCATGGGAAAATTGCCATAAAAGAACGAAATTTAAAAAATAAAAATGAGGGTTGGTCCGTAACAGGATTTCCCCGATGAGAATGGTCTTTAGAAATATGGCCTGTGTTGTCCAATACTGACCCTTTGGCACTTTACCTCTCCCCACCCCTCACCTGCGCTCCTAAAACAGCCCCCACAGCCAACATCTCTGCCCCCCGAAGCCCCCTCCCATCTGTTCACGGCGGGCTTCGAAAATCATGCAGTAGACAGACTGTGCATTCATTCAGACCCTTCTGAATGTTGCTGGTTTTCCTCCGAGGAACCTCTCCCAAGAAAAAGCCCTGGATGTGCAGAGTCCTGATGTGGCCTGTGTGCACGTGGCCGAGGGGGCCTTTGGAAGCACCTGTCCCTTCTTTAAAAGCCACCTTCCCCGGGGCGGGAGACGTGGGGAAGGGGAGCTGATGGTCTGTTCGAGTAGCTGGTAGAATCTACTCCTGGAATTGAGAACCACAGGTTGCAGGGAAGAGATACAAGATTGATTATAGAATGATCTTTAATTGGTCTTTAATTTCTTAGAGAACAAACAGAGATACAACCAACCCTCTTTTTTTTTTTTTCCTATTTAAGATTAGTTGCAGAATGTATTGATCTTTAACTTCTTAGAGGAGAAAGCGCTCTTTTCTGCCAGCGTTATTGATGTACAATGGACACTTGTAAAACTGTGTATATGTATAAGGCTTACAGTGTGATGACTGGATACACGCAGACATCGTGAAATGATCACCGTAATCCAGTTAATTAATATACGCATCACCTCACACCTACCTCCCGCTCCCCCTGCCTGAGCTCGCTCTCTCTCTGACAAATAAACAAATAAAATCTTTAAAAAAAATAATCGCCTTGCTCTGCATTCGATCCCCGGGACTTATTCATCAAATCACTGAACATTTGTGCCTCTGACCAACGTCTCCCCAGGTCCCCACAACCTAGCCCTTGGCAAGCACCATTCTGCCCGCGGCTTCTACGAGTTTAACTTGTTGTAGATTCCATATATAAGTGAGATGGTAGAGTACTTGTCTTGTTGTGCCTCGTGTGTCTGACTTGATGCCCTCAAGGTCCATCCATGTTGTCCCAAAAGGCAGGACTTCCTTCTTTTTAAGACTCCATAAGGTTCCATTGTATGTCTGCACCACATTATCTTTATCCATTCACCCACTATGAGAACAAATACTCTTCTCTTGTATATATACACACCACGTCTTCTGTATCCACTCATCCATTGATGGACTCTTGGGCTGCTTCCATATCTTGGCTAGTGTAAGTAATGCTGCAAAAAACATGGGGATGTATATATCTTTCTGAATTAATGTTTTCATTGGGGAGGGTGGTAAATACCCAGGTGTGGAATTGCTAGATCATATGGCGTTTCCATGTTTAATTTTTTGAGGAACCCACACGGTGTTTTGCTAAGTGAAGTAAGTCAGACAGAAGAAGACAAGTGCCCTATGGTTTCACTTATACGTGGACTCTAAGAAACAGAACAGATGAACAGAGACTCAAAAACCAGAGGAGAAACGTGCTTGCCAGAGAGGAGGGGGCGGGGGGATGGGGGAACCCTGTTTTCTCTCCCCCCAGCCCTGCCTCAACCATCTGCCATGTTGTGGCTTTACCTGCTTCATACTGTTGAGTGGCACTCCATAAATACGCAGTCCCATTGTCCCTGCGGTAAGCACATGACAATGCTCTTACTGCGAGCATCCAAGTGTGCAGAGGGTGCTTATGTCCATGCCATTGTTCACAGAATTAATTAGGGGCATTACTAAGTCCTTTCAATGTCAGTGCCGAGCGTGGCTGTTCTGGGAAGGGAAAGCACTAAGCAAACAGCTTGTTAAAACCCATGGATTGTTGTTTGGTTCTGTCGTGAGGGCGTTCCGTGACCTGCTGTGCAGTAGGGAGTGACCTGTTTGCATTGTCTACCCCCCAGCCTCTCCGGGGCAGCAATCTGCAAACAGAGAGAACTCTTCCTGCTCCAGGACTCACGTCCTCTGCAGAGACCCTGTGCCTTTTCCTCACCACCTATGGTATGCTCCTGGTCGTGCGCGGGCAGGTTTTGCTGGGCAGCCCAAGGCACCTGGGACCCCAGGCCATCTTGAGTCCTTCTGGGTGGCCAGGGACAGCAGGATGGCGAGCTCTCGAATGGAGGATCACCAGACTCTGGCCCCTTCGTGGTTCTGACCCAGGCGGCCAGCATGTCCTCCACGCAGCCTGCCTCATTCCGGTGCAATGGAGAGCCCAAGATTCTATTTCCATAAGGAAACCTCCTGAGTTGCAATCTATCAGATAGAAAGGGGGAAGAGTTGACCGTAAAAAATAAAATAAGTAAAAACCGAGAAATCGCGATTACGTTCGACCCTCCAAAATGTGGCAGAGTTCTGTGCCCATCAATAATGGATTAGGACGTTCAACGTTGATTCTCTTCTCCTTGTAATAATCGCCTATTACATTGCTTACGCAAATGCAACCACAAGTGTTTAATATTCTGCTTGCACCACATTCTCTTTTGCTGGAAGGGCAATTCTAGATAAAAATTTTGTTTTTGCCACTGTTTGCTTTTTCATTAGCATTACCTCTCTTGCCTTGGGGTTATAGACTGGAAAGTCTCATGTTTTCTTCTTCTTAACTATATTTTCAGGTAGGCACATTCTACTACATTCTATCTGTCAATCTATCTATCCATCTATCTATCTATCATCTATCATCTATCAATCATCTATCATCTATCAATCTATCTATCCATCCCTCTATCTATCATCTATCTATCCATCATATCTATCCTTCTATCTATCTACCATCTAACTATCTAATCTATTCATTATCTATCCATCATCTATCCATCCACCCATCCAATCACTTATTCTATCTATCTATCATCTATCTATCATCCTATCTATCATCTATCATCTATCTATCCATCCATCATCTATCTACCCCTCTATCAATCAATCCATCCGTCTATCATCTGTCTATCCATCCATCATCTATCTACCCATCCATCCGTATCTCTCTCTCTATCCATCCATCCCTCTATATATCTATCCATCCATCTACCCACCATCCATCATATCTATCTATCATCTATCTATCTATCATCTATCTATCTATCCACCCATCTCTAAATCAATCCATCCATATATCTATCTATCCTCCTATTATTATCTACCAATATCTATCTGTATATCTTCCTACCATCTATGCATGTCTGTATCTATGCATGTACCTATTCATCTGTTCATCTATCTATCCATATCTGTGTAGCTATATCAAACATCCAGACATCTATTCATCTATCCATGTGTGTATGCATCTATCTATATCTATCCATCTATCTACCTATTATATATTTATAAAATTACATATATATAATTTCCATTCATGCAACTAAGGCATTAATAAAATCCCAGCTAATAAAATTATAGTCTACAAGCTTGGTGTAGCAGCAAGGCACAATATTTGACCCTGGGACCAAGGTACATCCCATGGAGCTGAGCGATCACTCACCTTTGTTTGACTTTATCCTTCTCATTGGTCATCAACCTAGAAAATTGTAGAGATGCTTTGTCATCTTAAAATGCAGTGGTTCTATGGCTATAGGATGCTTGAGCTCTGAGCATACAGCTGCTGTACGTTAACACATAGCCCTGGCATCGTCCCACGGGACCCTCGGGATGAGGGGGTGATGCTAGCTCCTCAGAGCACCCCAAAAGCCAGCTTGCTCTCCCAAGGGGCATATTTTACAAAGAAAGTGGTGTCCTGGGAACATGACCCTCATAATCACCTGTTCTTGCAGTGGATCTCTGACTTTGGATGATTTTTTTAATGGCTCTTTCCTGTTATTTCCCTTTATCAACTACCATTAGAATGAAGGAAACTTGCCTCCACAAAGAGGCTATTTTACTTATGGACTCAACAGAGGCCAAAATAACCACGCTCTGCTCTAATCCCAATGTCTGTTCTTTCCCCTCTCCATGCTTGACAAGAAGTAGATCCTTCTCCAAACTACCAGTTTTGTTTACGGCCAGCATGACAGTCTGGTGGGAGAATGTTGACCTTCGTGGCCACACTTGTCCTGAGAAATCACTCCTGAGACCCTCGGCACATGCGTGGATTTGCCTTCCAGCTGGATTCCCTCATCCCCAGAAGCCAGCTTGCAGAAACCGCCATCTTCCCCACACTGGGTTTTACCTAGGACGTGCCCATCTCAGGCCTTCCACCTATGGTCAGTCGATCTGAAAAAGCCCCATGGAATCATGCATTGTTACAATCACCAACTGGTACCAAGGCCAAAGGTATCATTTCGTTTCAGTGGTTGTGTGTTTGTTGGCCCAAGCTCTTCTCCTCCATTCCAGTACTTCCTTCAACAGCTGCCTCTAGGGTCCAAGTGAGCACAAGAGCAGGTGCCCCTAAACAAGTGGGCATCCAGTATCCACCCATACCACCAGTGTGAGAGTCCAGATGGAGACACTACGACCACCACTCACCTACGGCATACGCCGCCACGTCAAAGAACTGCCACCTGCCAGCCCACACCAACTGTGCTGCTCCTTCAGGATTTCCAGACCCAAGGTGAAAGGGTGCTTGGGTCTCAGTTTGACACGGAGGCACTGATGTTGGAAATAATCACCATACAAAGGCTCACACTGATGTTGGAAATAATCACCATACAAAGGCTCACCGTTTTAAAACAGAGGGTTGAAAAGGAAACAAATAAAATGAACACAGAGATAGAAGGATGGAAGAAATGAAATGAGTTATAATCCCAATGAAAGGGGGAAAGGTAGAACTATATAAGAGGACTGCCTAGTTATCCTGGAAGAAGACTTTTGACCCGAAAATAAAACTCAACTCCCTTATATATTAGTTTCACAGGGGTTACAGTGGGAAGTGACCACAAATTGGGTGGATTAACATAACAGAAATGTATCCTCCCCCAGCTCTGGAGACCAGAAGTCTGAGATCCAGGCGGGGCAGGACCACTCAGATCCAGGTGGGGCAGGGTCAAGCTCCCTCCAGAGGCTCCAGGGGAGGGTCCTTCCTCCTCTTCCAGCTTCTGGGGCTCCAGGTGTCCCTGGGTTTGTAACTGCGTCCCTCCCGTCTCTGCATCTGTCTTCACGTGGCTTTTCCTCTGTGTCCGTGTCTCCTCTTGTGTCTCTTATAAGGACACCCGCCATTGAATTCAGGGCCACCCTGATCCAGGATGAGCTCATCTCAAAATCCATACCTTCATTGCAACTACAAACTTTATCCAAAAAAAAAAAGTTTGCATTCACAGGTTCTGCATGTTAGGATTTGGACATATATTTGGGGAGGGGCATGATATAAACAGTATTCACTTAAAAACTGAAATAGTGACTCACCCTTTCTTGAAATTACCACACATTTTTCTCCTTCCATACCTCTTCCCATTGCTGTTGCTACCTCTCAAGATGACATCATCATATGCCTTTGTCTACCTCTGTGACAGCTGAAATCTTTGCCCTGTTGGATAATAGAACCGTGCACTTCTTAAGAATAAATCCATACTTTATTTACCGGGAAATCCATACAGTGCCTTGCACATAATAAGCACATAATGTTTGCCCAATTGACATGAATTTATCCAAAGCATGAGCCCTTCACTTTTGTTTTTAAAAAACAGAGAGGTATTTTTCTACATCATTTTGGAGTTGCTCTCTAGTTATGCATGCCTTTGTGTGAAACCCTACAGATATATATTTTTTTCATTTCATACATCATTTGCTGAAATGCCCTTTAAAATGTAATGGAACATGGAGCTTTAGGAAACAAAACTCTGCAGGAAATAAATTATCTTCTCTCTTTGTATTGGGACCCAAAAGTCTCACCTTATTAACGACATCGGGGACTCTCTGAAAGCAACCTGAGTCATGAGGACAGTTGAACTGCAGCTTAAGGGGGACCCTCATTAATCAGACACAAACACCCCAGGCCCGGGCCACAGTGGTCTGTACCAGAGTCCGACCGTGAAGCTCATGCCCAGAGGACACAAGGAAAGAGCACTTTGAAGAGGAAATACGGCAAAGCTCTGCATCACATCACCACCTGATATCGCTTCCCTTGACCAAAAGCAAAGCACTCTGTGCCTGGAAAATGCACATTGTGAGTTAGGATCATGCTAAGCTGTTTTAACTGATGGACCACACATGTCCGTTGTTAGTAGCTGAACATAGCCAGCGTTCAGTCCAAAAATGAATGTTTCTGGCTGGCTGGTCATGCTGCTCAAGAGTGGGTTCAGGGAACCTGAATCTTTGTACTTTGTGGCTCTCACACCTGCCCAAGTTCACCTGGATTGTCAATATTTAATCAGAGGAGGGAGGATGGAGAAGGTGTATTCATTTGCTAGGGCTGCCATAACAAAATCCCACAGTCCAGGTGGCTCAAACCACAGACATTTAATTCCTCCTGGTCCTGGAGGCTGGGGGTCTGAGATCCAGGGAGGGCTGAGGCTAGGATTCTCAGACCCTGGTGGGGCTGAGCCTGGTTCTTCCTGAGGCCTCTCCCCTTGGTGTGTAGACGCCGTGTTCTCCCTGTATCCTCACATGGTCCTCCCTCTGTGCGTGTCTGTGTCCTCATCCCCTCTTCTTATAGGACCCCAGGACTATGGGATCAGGGCCCACCTTAATGACTTTGTTTTACCTTAATCCCCTCTTAAAAGACCCCCACCTCCAAATACAGTCTCATTCGGAGGTCCTGGGAGCTAGGGCTTCAACATATGAATTTTGGAGGTAAACCATCCGCCCTGTAACAGGAGCCATGCCCACTTCTTACCACCTGGGCCAGAAGTGAAATGCATGACTCGACACACTGTTGACAAGATGTCATCCTATGGGCCCATCTAAATGTCCAGGTGGGGGTGGGGGGCTGGCTGACATAGATTCAGGTGCACTAGCCATCTCCCCATACAGAGTCAACCCAGCAGATGAGGAGTGTGGATATTTGGTGGACAGGTAACCATTCCAGCCGCAACTGCATTTTGGGAGACACCTGTCTGGCTCCAGACTAACAAAATTCCATTTTGCACTGGGGGGGGGTCTCCATCACGGCAGAGATCACCCCTATAATTCACCCTTTCTCTCAGTCCATCACCTCTCCTTGTGAACACCGTTTCTGAGACAATATTACAATTTGATGTTTCTATTTCTATAATATGCTTGTGCTTTTAAATTGCCTCCAAACCAGGATGCTGGTTTGATTTGTTTATTTTACTGATTTTAATTAAGTGAACAGGGAAAATCTCTCAATTATTGGCATGATCATGCATCCAGTGTGATCAGGTGCCAGAATGTAAAGGGCAGGGTTGGGGCCCCAGAAGTGAGTGCTGAGAAGGAACATTGGCAGAATGAGAACCATCTGCAGGATGACATTCAAGCATGAGCTCTGCACCCAGCGAAGACTTATTTAACATACACAGTATTCGAGATCCGTACCTGGCATTAGGAACAGGAAGACGTGTCATATCCTGGGCATTGGTCTCTGGCCACCTCCCAGTCTGGATGTCTAGATAGGACGACATACCTGTAAACAAATCACTGCAGCAAAATGAGACAAGTATCCCAACAAAAGTGTGTGCCAAATAGGTAAGAAGGGGCAAAAGGGATTCTCTTCTAGTCTACCACACTCTGCAGGCAGAGAGCCTAAGAGATACTTATCGTTAAAGAGCCCAGGTAGTTTCAACAAATGGACAAATGCTCTTCTCTTTCCGTAGGTAACCGTGATCTGGGAATGTTGCATCCAAATGAGGAATCCCAGACAGTGCAGAGTCCAGGGCCCAGGTGACATGCTCGGATCTCATTGTTCTCAGAAACCACGGTGCAATTTGAGCTCCCTTAATGCCATGCAGGGGAAGAGGTAGGCAGAGATGTGATTGCAGACCCAGGAGAGCCTCACTGGCTGCCTGTAAGAACAGGATTTCCCCAGCCCCCAGTGTGCAGACCGCCAACCCTGATCTCCATCAGCCTCTTCCACTGTGAAATTCGATGCGCTGAGAGCCTGGGGAAGCGGAAGGAAGACCTCCAAGAGTTGTGTCATCTCTAATTCATTTCACTGAGTGCAATCAGGCAGAGGGGGCTTCTTCTCCAACTTGAGGTTTTGTCTCTCTGACCAGAGGGCAGTGTTGACACTTTTCCCCAAGACCTGATTAGCTACAGATGCCCTACTCTTTATCAATATAGGGGCAGGAAGCATCCCACCATATGGCTTCATACTGCTCCTTCTTTCAACAGGATGGCAATGGATAAACAGAGTGTAGTACGTCCACACAACGGAACATGACTTAGTGTTAAAAAGGAAGGACATTCTGACACCCGCTACAATTTGGGAGGACCTTGCAGAGACAATACCGAGTGACATAAGCCAGTCACAAAAGGACAAATCCTGTAGGATTCCACTCATAGAGGAGGTCCCCCCGAGGAGTCACATCCATGAAGACAGAAAGTAGATGGTGGTACCAGGGGCTGGGGGAGGGGGATAAGGAGTTAGTGTCTCATGGGGACAGAGTTTTGGTTTTATATGATGAAAAACTTATGGAGATTGATGGTGGGGATGGTTTTACAACAAAGTGAATATATTTAGCACAACTCAACTCTACACTGAAAAATAGTCAAGATGATAAATTTTACATGATGTCTGTCTCACTACAATTAAAAATTAAGAGGAAAGGCGAGATCGTTTAGAATCATGGATACAAAATGCATCTTCTTTGGATAGAAAGATTCTACAAGCATTTCATGTGCCTTTGGCTCCACGAATTCATGGATGCGTAGCGACTAGTACTCCGCCAACTCTTGTTGGGATAGTCTGGCCTGTGGTGTGTTCATTATTTAAATTAGAAGGTCATTTTTGAATTCTGGTTGCAGGGATATGATTTGTTCTTTTGTTTAACACCCCAACTGTGCTTCTTTGCTCCCTTCTTGCCTCCTCTCAGGAGCAAGGCCGGCTTATCCCATGACATACCAATCGGTGGCTGGTGCAGGGCCACCCTTTCACAGAGGAGGCTCCTGAGATTATCAGAAGGAATCCTTCAGTCGGGAATCCATGCTCATATGCCCAATTCCATACAAAACTTCTCTCAAACCAGAGCAAGAGCCATCCCCACGACAGGTGAATTCAACTCTATCCCTTCACTCACCATATCCACTCTTCAGAGCCATGTTCTGCAGATAATATTCCCCATGAAAGAATCATTGGCTTCATTGTTAGAAGGGACAATACTTTGTGTACTGCATTGAATATTTTTTTTACATGATTCTTGTGAAAATAACCACCTGCAAATCCAACATTCCAAATGTGATTCTCTCGGCAATAGCATTTTCTCGGCATTTTCTCAGTGATATATACACATTCCAGAAGCCCTGTTTACATGTCTTCAAAGCGTATGTGCCTACCAAATGCTAACACTTAAGCAAAGGCTTAGGAATTGATTTCCCAGAGTCTTGTTCACTCAGCCCACATGGATATGTCTTTAATAACCTTATTGCATGTAGATGGTCAAATACTTGGAAGTAAGAATTTATGGGATTTCAGTGTTAAACTCCACCAATGCAGCTATGCATCATCATGCTAAACAAAGTGTTTTTAAAAAATATTTAAAAGTGCATCAGCAAGTTGGCAAGTTAGTAGGGAATTTTCAGATTCCAAAAGTCCAAGATGAAGATAAGAAGAAGTCAGAAAGATGTGCTGGGTACTGTATACTGGACAGAAATTGAGATATCGTTTTTATAGACCCATGAAGTCAGATATGCACCCATCTCACATAAAAGATGTCCCCTCCAAAAGATGCCAACACAACTGTGGGAAATAAGGAATGCTTGTTGTTTCAAGGTACTCACTGCTGGAAGCAATCATTGGGTAGCACGTGATGATTGCTGCCATTTTGTACCTTATGTCACTGAACACATGTAAGTTTTACCCACAACTTTTATAGGCTACTCAAGCATAAAAGCGATCCTCATTATTGACAGACTCCATACATGAAAATTCGCTTACTTGTTAAAATGTATCTGTGACCCCCCAAACCAATACTTCTAGCCCCTTCAACGTCATATAGTACTGAAGCGGCATCCAGTACTCCTGAGCAAAAGGAGGCTGCCATGTGCCATATGGAGAAAATCCACATGTCAGAGAAACTGTTCAGACATTAGTTTTAGTGTCCTTGGCTCTGAGTTCAATGTGAATGAATTAACAATAGAATTTAAGTAAAATGTCTTTAGACATAAATGCACATAAAACAAAATTATGGGTTGATCAGTTGATGAAATGTGACCAGAGTTTGCAGGAACCTGACTTTGTATTTCCCTAGGAAAAAAGATTTAGGGTCTGCTAACTTAGTGTTTGCAGCAAGTACAACAACCACACACGATGAGAATGACTTACCTGGTTTTCTCCCGGTCACATGGTGCAATTACATATACCTTAATTATATAAATATAGTCAACTTTAGATCTAATAAGTTAATTAAGTATATGAAGGAAGCATGCTTATATTTATTTAAAAAGTTGCACTATAGGGCGCCTGGGTGGCTCAGTTGGTTAAGCGACTGCCTTCAGCTCAGGTCAAGATCCTGGAGTCCCAGGATCGAGTCCCGCATCGGGCTCCCTGCTCGGCAGGGAGTATGCTTCTCCCTCTGACCCTCCTCCCTCTCACGCTCTCTGTCTCTCATTTTCTCTCTCTCAAATAAATAAATAAATAAAATCTTTAAAAAATAAATAAATAAATAAATAAAAAGTTGCACTATAATGTCTAACTACCAGATTATTAGCCATAAATAAAACAAACTGGAGAATAAATAGTTAAATTCAGAGAAGGCCGAAAGAGAAAGAGAGAAAGGCAAGACAAACACAAATAAAACCATTAACTGTAGACATAAATCCAGATAACACTCAGCCACTATTTTGGGGGAATGAAATATGTTACAAACTTTGGCAAGCCACCTGGCAAAATTGTATCAAAATTGCATAGAAGCTTTTCCCTGCCATTTCACATCTAAATATTTGCTTGGCACACTCACTGAGGGAAAACAATGACACCAGGATGTTCCCATCTATATTATCTATAATGGGAGTATCATAAAAACCCAGAAAACAACCTTGACTATTGATTAGCAATGATGAGATTTTTGAAAAAATACACACACACACACACACACACACATCCTTTCCTGACTAAGAGTAAACACTAAGTTAATACTAAGAGTAAATACTAAGTTAATAAGTGAGCCAATGGTCAGGACATTAAATTTTGAAACAAAGCCCTTCCACATCGCTAGAGGGGCTATGGCTTTTCACAAATTTATAAGGAGAACCTGCATTTCATTTTTACCATAAAAAGTTCTGTCCCTTAAAAATAGTTAAGAGTGGGATGTCTGGCTGGCTCAGTCAGTGGAACGTGCGAATCTTGATCTTGGGGTTGTGAGTTTGAACCCCACGTTGGGTGTAGAGATTACTTAATATTGAAATCTTTTTTAAAAATAGTTAAGAGTATGTGCAAAATGCAAATTTTATAGTCATACGGAAGCAGAAGGAGAATCAGAAATGCTTGCGATCTGTAATATGATGACGCAAGCTTGCAGTATTTTGCAAAATGTGGGGGGTTATTTTGCATTCCAAAGGAAAATATGGTATTGACTAGTTTTGCTTGTTAAAACTAATAAAATCTTCTAGTGACCTAATTATATGGCTTTGCATTCCCTGAAGTTGTCCAATAACAGCCTTACATTTACTAGTTAATATAACATAGTTACAATTAGTTAATGTAATAAATACATATGGTTAAAATATAGTTCTAGAAAACACATAGTTGCATATATATACACACACAATACAATATACAATATACTAATATACAATACATTAGTATAACAAAGAGACTAAAGAAACATCCAGAACTTTACAAGAAGGCATAGAGCTTCACCTGCAGATGAGTAAACTGAATTTAAAGGAGACAGTTCAGTGCAAAGTTGTTCATAGGTAGATGCAAAACTTTCCCAAATTCAGTGCATGAGCATACTCATGTAGACTTTATATTTATTTAATTTACTTACTTATATAATTTACTTACTTATAAATAAGTTTATTTACTTATTTAATTTTGAAGTAAAATACACATACCATAAAATTTACCTTCTTAACCATTTTTGAGTGCGCAATTCTGTGGCATCGAGCACATTTACACTGTTGTGCAACCATCCCCACCATCCGTCTCCAGAACTTTGCATCTTCCCCATCTGAAAGTCTGTCCCCATCAAACACTAACTCCCCATCCCCCTCCCCCAGCCCCTGGCCCCACTTTCAACTCTCTGTCCCTGTGCATGGGACTCCTGTAGAGACCTCATATACATGGATTCACACAGGATTTGTCCTTCTTTGACTCAGCACCATGTCCTCAAGGTCCATCCACATCATAGCAGGTGCAGAACATCTTTCCTTTTTAAGGCTAAGTCATATTCCACTGTGTGCATGAACCACTTTCTGTTTATCCATCCATCCATCCATGGACACTTGGCTTGCTTCCACCTTCGGTCATTGTGAGGCACGCTGCTATGAATATGGGTCTGCATATGTCTTTGGATCCTGCTTTGAATTTTGGGGGGTAGATGCTCAGACATGGGGTTGTTGGATCTTACGGTATTTGTATGTTTAATGTTTTGAGAAACCACTGTGTCCCACAACAGCTGCACCGTTTCCCACCAGCAAGGGATCCAATCTTTCCACCTCCTCACCCATGCTCATCGTTTTCTGTTTTTTTGATAGCATCCATTCTAATGGGTGTGAAGTGATAAAGCTTTTATTGCAAAGTGAAGGACGCCGTGCAGCGAGCAGATGCAGGCTAGCAGTGGAGTCCAGACACGCTGCTGGGACCCGCACCTTCAAGGGAACCAACGGGATCTGTGTGAGGAGTCTCGGCTTCTTCAGGAGAGCCTCAAGCCGATGTTCTAACACTGTGGACGGGTGGTCAAGCCACACTGACTTCACCACTGGTTAGGCCACTCACAAATCATCTGTAAAGAAAAGGACCCCGTGGGCGTCCCAGGTTGTTTCAGACATTAAACAGCACACCGTAAATCCCACCGCTCTTATGGAGGCCAGGGTCAAAGAGCAGACCTCCAGGCATCCCCAGGGATAGACAGAGCTCATCTTGTCCAGCTGTAAATCAGCTTTATCTCCCACCGTGGGTCACGTGGCCATTCAAAATCTGCAAGACTGATCAAGCACACAGCTCATAGGAATTATTTCCCATCCTTCCCCAAACCCAAAAGATGTTTTGAAGGACATCTGGAAAGGGGCACACGGAGATTCAAACCTCTGTTGTGTGTTGCATTTCCTCTGTTAT